TTTTTCATTTTTGTGTATGTGTTGGTGGTGTCTTTGTTCTTTATTGTGATTTTAATGAAAGTTTACAGAAAAGTTGTATTTTCATTCATTCATTCATTCATTCATTATTGCACATTTTCCTCCCTCCCCCTCCTCTAATCCACTTTTTTTTTTAAACAGCATTCATTATTGCACCATTTTTTCCCTCCCCTTTCAGGCCTTCTTCCCCAGTCCACTTTGCTGTGCACCACTTATTCTGGACTATTGTTATACAAAAAATGACTAATCATATATTCCTTTTAAACAGTTATTGTCTCATTTGTTCCAATGCAGTGTTCATTATCTATCCACTCTTTTCCTAATTTCCCTCCAAACCCCCATGTTAGCCCTGCTTTATAACAGTTCTGCAGTGTTTTTCCTTTCATAACTGAGATATTTCACTCACCATAATGTCCTCCAGGGTCACCCATGTTGTGTAATGTTTTACAAGTTCATTGCTTTTCAGTGCTGTGTAGTATTCCATTGTGTGACTAGACCATAGTTTTTCTATCCATTCGTTTGGAAAGAGACCCCAAATAAGTAAAGCACTACTGAAAAAAGAACGAGAAGGTAGGAGGCAATCACACTCTTTGATCTCAAATCCTACTACACAACACTAATGGTCAAAACAGTGTGATTCTGGTACATTGATGACACATAGATTAATGGAATGGAATTGAGAACCCAGAAATCAGCTCATCCACCTCTGATCAACTGATTTTGGACAAGGAGATGGAATAAGTTAATTGGGAAAATGAAGGCCTTTTTAACAAATAGTGTTGATAAAATTGTAAAATCACCTGTGGAAAACTCAAGCAAGACCCACACCTCACAACATACACACGAACTGACTCAAGGTGGATCAAGGACCTAGAAGTAAAATCAAAGGCTATAAGCTTCATCAGAGAAAAACTTGGAAGAACTCTAGAAGCCCTAACCCACAATGTGAATAGTCTTCCAAATATAATGAAAAACCTACAGTCTGGAGAGAACAAAATAAATGAAAGGAACCTTCTAAGAATCAAACCATTATACACAACAAAAACTTCAACAGGATAAAAATAAAACCCACAGTCTGGGGGGAAGTATTTGACAATGACATATCTGATACGGGACTCATATCTAGAATACGCCAGCATCTCAACAAGAAAATTATAAGCATGCCTTAGTACTTTTTATGCACAATAAAAGGTAGCCAATAATCTTGTTAAGCTGGTTTAAGAAAACAGTTTGGAAGATGGACATAAGTCCTAGTCATTGAAGGAATATTTAGGAGATGCGAAATGAGCATGAGGGGTGGGAATAAGAAATAGAAGAAGAATCTAAGCAAATTCCTAAAATTCTGGCTGAAATGATGTAGAAGGGAAATAAGAGACTTATACAGATAAAGATCAGGAGCTTAATTTTGCACATAATGACTTTAAGGTGCCTGTGAGACAGTCAGACATAGGAAACTGGATGTTTGCTTTTAATGCTCCTAACAAAGCAGTAGGCTAATTATTTAGGAATTGTTAGTCAATAGGTGGTAACTGAAGCTAGAAAATGGAAAAAAATTCCTTATAAAGAACATTGTGAAGATGAACCCTAGAATAAGAACTTACAAAGGAAACTGAGAAGGAGGCCTCAGCGAAATAGAGAACAAAGGGAGTGTAAAAAAGAAGGAAAAGACTTAGAGGAGGAATCCTGGAACATAAGACCGGTGAAAGCTAAGGACAAGACAGTATCAGAAGGCATTAGGAATGCTTCTTGCTACAAATGACAGCAAGTAACAGAGCCAGTGACTTAAATAAAACAGAATATATTGTTCTCATTTATAAAAAGAAAAAAATCTGGAGATCAACGGGTCCAAGGATTTAGGCATTTTTTATCTGCTTCCCTGTTATACTACGGCAGTTTGAACACACCAGCGGCTGTTTGGGAAAAAGGTGTGTGGTCTCTTCCCTTGACATTTACAGCCTTGGAAAGCTAATGGAGGGTCACTATGAGTTAGTTGTTTCTAACCCTCCATGGCAATGTTTGGAACTGACCAGTAAGCATTTCTCTTTTTTTGTCCATCCAGTGGCCATGTTTTTTTTTACCTCCAGTGCAGACATTATATCCACATTCAAGGAGAGAAGAAAAAATAAAACAAACCTCACTACCAGTAGTTGGTTCCGACCCATAGTGACATCCCATCAGGCTTTCAAGGACATAAATCTTAAGAGCATATCTTCTTCCCAAGGAGCAGGAGATGAATTCAAACCAACAATCTTTTATTAGCTGCATACCATGCTATACACTACACCACCAGAATTCCTTATCCCTGTTTTTGTTGTTATTGGGTGCTCTTGAGATGACTACTGTTGTTGATTGCCTATGAGTTGAGCATGACTCATAGTGACTCTATGATGAACAAAAGACTTAAAGCCTTTCTGTAACTTTCATTGTTTCTCAAAGTTCATAGACTTTTTTTTTCTATAATTATATTTTATTAATTTTCATAAACATTTACAGAGATTTTGGGCTTCCACTCA